CATAAAACAAGGAGCTATTCACAGCCTGAGGCTAATCTTCAACGATATTTCCCCGGGGGTAGGGGGGGTGGGGCCAGGAGAACATGGGAGAGTTACGATAGTGGGAGTGTTCCCGAGGAATCGGAAGACGGTGGAGCTTATTTCCGTCATTATTCGACACCTTCAAGACCTGGTATGAATCAACAACAACAACAACATGTGCTCCAGCAGCCAATGGAAGAAGTTACTAAGAATAGTAAGTGATTGATTAGTGAGGAATGTTAATTAGTGTCAACAGTGTTAATGATTGACTTCATTACTCCCTCTCTTTTCCTTGTAGTATCAACCAGTAAGGATTATGGTGGCTACGATTACTCTTTCATTTCATCACATGAAGAGCTTCATGAGTTCATCTGTCCTATCTGCCGCTTGGTCTTACGCAGCCCCCACCTCACCGACTGCTGTGGGGCTTGCTTTTGTAGCACCTGCATTAGAGAACACATCTCTTTAGATAACTCCTGCCCACTGTGCAAGAAAGAGCATTATAGTGTCTTCATACATAGGAACATAGAGCGATCCATAAACAGACTACAAGTGAAGTGCCCTAATAATGCTGATGGGTGTGTGTGGGTGGGGCCGCTGGTTGACGTGGCAACGCATGTCGACCTAAATAAAGGAGACTGTGATTTTGTACGTTGTCTTTGTCCTTTCTGTGAGGAGGAGTTCTCCTTGAACACCTTGTACACTCATAAAACTGATGAGTGTCCCAGACGTCCCTATTCCTGTAAATTCTGTTCGTTTAAAAGTGCTTACGAAGACATGCCCTCCCATTGGCCGCTCTGTGACGGCTACCCCGCCCCCTGCCCTAACGACTGCGGCTCTATGGACATGCCCAGGAGGGACATCCCCCAGCATTTGGAGGTGTGTCCACGTAAAATCATCGAATGTGATTTTAAATTTCTTGGTTGTGATTCCACTTATCCTTTATCTGATGCACGGGTCCATGAAGAAAGCTCCGCCCACTTTCACATGAGCCTGATGGGTAGGATGGTTAGGGAGTTAATGAATAGAGAGGCCACACCCACTGGCCCTACCCACGAGGACCTAGAGGGGCGGCTGGAAGAGAAGGATAGGGAGTTGTCTTTATTAAGAGAGCAGGTACAAGTACAGGGCAAGGAACTGGGAGAGCTTCGTTCTCTTGTCTCTACACTGGAAGAGTCTCAGGCCAAACTAGCAAAAGACCTTCAGAAGGTTCGGTCTCATGTTGTGACTCCGCCCTTTCACTTCACAGTCTATAAATTCAGTGAGCTTCGTTCTTCTGGCAAGCAGTGGTTTAGCTCTCCATTTTACACTCATCCTCAAGGCTACAGAATGTGTATCAGTTTGGATTGCAATGGGTCGGACGAGGGAAGGGGTACTCACGTCTCTGTGTATGCTAACCTCATGAGAGGAGAATTTGACGATGAGCTCTCTTGGCCTTTCTGTGGTATCGTTGTGATCCAATTGATTAATCAGTACGGGGGCGGAGATAAAGGAGGACATATTGTCCATGAGATCCCATTCACTCCTGACGTCCCCTTGGAGATATCCGATCGAATTTTGGATCAAGAGCTAGCGGAGAGTGGTCTTGGCGTTCCACAGTTTGTGGCTCACGGGCAGCTCCAGTTGGATAAATACACCAACTGCGGGTACCTCAGGAATGAGTGTTTGAGGTTTTGTGTGACTAGCATTAGAAGGAACTAGACCAGAAAAAGATTGTGTGTTTATTTGTTACTAGATTGTCCCTTTATTATTATTGAATAAATTATAAATAAATTCTTTAAATTGTCAAATCATTTCTTCTTTTAAAAATAAAATTTTCATTAAATTTGCCCACGTGTTAACACGTGGCAAGTACACACCCATATAATTTACCTAGCCCCACCTTTTCCTCATATCTCTGAATCTGATATCTTCTTTATGCAAGAGAAAAATGGCAAGCAGCCATTCGCCGCCTTCTCCGTCTAAAAGGAACGGGAGCAGCTCTAGCAGGAGACAATACTCAGGAGACAGGAGTAGCAGCGGGTTTTTTAAACTGGGGGAGATCAGACCGCCCAAAGATGAGGATTTTGACCATCTTCTTCGACTGGCGGAAAATCATGAGAAATGGCTACTGAAACACGACAAGAACGGGGTCAGGGTTTGGATGAGAGAGATACCAGGACAGACAGTGAAAATGCTAAAAGTAAAGAGCAACAGAAGAGAGAGAGGGAGGGAGGGAGAGAGAAAGGAAGAAGAAAACATGATACAGCCAGCCATTGTTTTTGTTTTTGGTTGATTTTGTTGCTTGTATAAATATCTTACAATTATTGTCGTGTTTGCATCTGTCAATACTAATTGACTTTGCACGTACATGTACGCACGTTTGAAATTCAATTTCAAAAATTCAAACTGTAACTTGTTGTGCAATGAGCAATTATCACCTCTGCTGAAAAAGCTGTTAATAATAATAATAATAATAATGATAATAATACTAATAATGTTATAAATAATAATAATAATAATAATATTATTAATAATAATAATAATTAATAATAATGTTGTGGTCCTATTACACTTTATGACACAACATTAGTTACATTACGTCATCATCATTATTCATAAGTATAAGCACATGTTCATCATCCTATTCATCATCTTAACTTTATAATTATGTGTTTCACTTTAGTACACATGTTTGTTTACATTTAAAAAGGAACTTGCTAAATTGCATTAATAATGTAACCATTTGTTACTTTAATAATAATAATCATTATCCTTTCTTAGGTATACTGTCATTTCAAAACAATAACTGGTCAAGTTTTATATGACACTCTACAAGACAGCGACTATAGAACACAGTGNGACGAAGCACTCCTTGAAGAACAGACAATTTGTTTAGTTGAAGGAACTAACAGCGACCTCTGCTATTACTCAAGTAAAGGAAATGTCTACTTGTACATATTCATATGTATATGTACATATATACATATGTACATATGTATATATGTACATGTACATGTACATGT